TGAGGCGAGGCCAGATAAAGGCGATTTGGGGAATTATCATACCTATCCAATAAAGACGGTAGAAGCATAAGAATCAAGGAGAAAGTTCTCATACCCATTTGGAATTCTGTCATATTTCATGGGTTTTCTTTCTGATCACAAAAGAATGGGTGTAGTAGTGGAGGAGGAAATTGCGTTGTGGGGTTTAAAGGTTTGATAAGGGAGAGGCGTCGGAGAGAGAGAAACCGGGGGAGAGGCAGAGATTGAGAGAACAAAAAAAAATTCCTTCTTGATCATCGCAGGAACGTCTACTAGTATGCTGCCTGGGAAGTGGCCAACGACGGAGAAAGTGAGAGGCGTTGGATAGAAAGAGAGAGAGGGGGAGGGGGGGAGAGACCGAGGGAGAGAGAACCAAAAAAAATTGTAAGTCATTTAAACGGTAAAAGAAAAAAAAAATTGTGGCCATCGCTGGACAGTAGACGTGGGGGAAGAAAGGAAGAGAGCGGTGGCGGAAGAAAGAAAAGGACAGAGACGAAGAAATGGAGAGAGAGAAGAGAGAGAGAGAGAGAGACATACCATCAGTGAAGCATACCATCCAACAAAGGGGAAAGGGGAAAGGGAAAAGGGGAAAGGGCCCCACTGACTGATTAAACCCTAGGACACAAAAATACTTTTTGGTGGTATATTGGTAAAATGGTTTTTTATCCTATTGGTAGGAAATTAATCCCAAAAAATCGGTGGGTTATTTATATCCTGTTCGGAGGAGATAAATGGGTTCAATTACTACGGGCCGAATATTTGACCCCGATGTTTATTCCATCAAGTTTTGTGGATCCAAACTTGAGATATATGGGCCGGAAAATTTAAACTCAATTTACGTGGGTTATCTGCATCAAACCAAACACCCCCATGAAAGTGGATTTCAACAATTCCGGTGTGGGTTTCGAAGGGCAAACTGATTTGGAATTAAAGATTACATTTGTACCTCTGAAATCCATTTCTTGTCTACTCTATACAGATATCAATGTACAGAACTAGTTGGTTTATCAACACAAGCATTTGAGTTTTGTGAATGCGAGAAAGGGCATGATCCCATTTTTGGGCCATCATTACGCTTTTGTCATTTAACAAAAGCAACTTCAAGCATTAATTTTCATAGGATAATTAAAGATACAGTTTATTTTTGGATGTATAATTATTTTGTATATTTCGATATGTTGAATGTTATTTTATAAGAATGTTTCGTACAACTAATTTTCGGACTATGATAATGTTTCACATAAGAGATTATTTTATTGTGGTTATGTGAAATGCATAAATTTTTATCAGCATTGATGTTTGACATTATAAGTTGGGAAGAAAAAAATTCTAAAATATGTAGTTCATAAATAAAGTTGGATTCATCTTTTAATCTCATTTACTTAAAGATAAGATTATGTTTGGAAGGGTTTGGACTGGTTTTATTAAACCAGTCCAATCCCTTAACCAAATTTCATCCAAACATACTATTAGAAGTTTATTGACAGTTTTTTTTTAGAGGTAAGGTTTATTGACAGTTCAGGAATTCAGTAGTTGACCCTTTAGAGTCCAATTCACCAATTTATCGGGTTGATCTGCGGATTCAATCCAAATCTAATAACGCTATTGGATTAGGCGCATTAAATCCAAAACAAAATAGATAGATGACAAAATTACTATTTTCTTGGGCATATTGCACAACCACTCCTTAGGTTTAAGCTTAATATGAACCCAAGTCCTTTACTAATATCTTATTTGTTTGCATCCTAATTTCATCGTCAATACGATGGAGTAAATATCTTTGTTTACCACTTTAATCGAACAAAAACTCTAGCTCATCAAATATATCTTATTCAAATTGATTACAAACTACTGCACTCAAAACTAGTAATCGTAAATTTTCTAGGATTCATTACAATACTGTTGCGTCTTTCTAATGGCACAAGTGAAAATAAGCAATCGAATACCTAAAAAAGATACCGATCAAAAAAAAAAAAAATACCTAAAAAAGCTAGGTTAAAATCAAAGTCACAACAATTTACATGCATCTGTGAATCGGTGGATGAACAAATACGAAAACAAAGAATCGAAAGATATACAGAGAGAGAGAGTACGTGTGGATACTATAGCAAAAGGGTTTGGGCACAGAAAGTGCTCGTGTGGTTGAGAATTTTATCGAATTTCATCGACGGTTTAAGACGACCAGTCGTTTTATTTGTCACCGATTGCACTGCAGCCCACAAGGGATGAGCCCAATTAGGCACAACAAAACAACGGCCCAAGTTCATTCACGAGCAATTTGAGCCCGATTGGCCCAATATACCGACGGCCCAAGTTCCCCGATTGGTTGCCAACTCATTTCAACCACGAGTGGATCTTAATCGTATGCAGTTTTTTTGGCTCGACTAAATGTAATCCGAATTAAATCTAAAATTTAGTTTTGATTGTGTAGAATTTACTTAATTCTTAAATCCAATAAAGTCATCTCTATTTCGGACTCAAATTTAGACTCAAACTTACACCAAATAAAAAAAAAACTAAAATTTTGAGTCAAATGAAAGGAGAATTCTCTACTCAAAATATTTCACTCCTCTTCCTTTGTTCATCACTTGCCACTGCCGACCAGTATAGATTTGATCCAGAGTTCACTCCGGTGTCTCCTTTTGTGCTGGTGTCTTCGTGCAAATTTGAATCTTGTTGGTCCTTGGTGGCGTCGGTGTCTACTGTTACTTCGTCGTGGGCTTGTAGGATTCTGTAATTGCAAGATGGATTTTGTTGGAATATTTACTAGGTAGATTGAGTATATTTTCGTTTACAAATGTTGGAAATTTTGGTTTATTGGGAACTTGTTTCAGTAAATCTGTTATTACAAATGCTGTAACAACAGTGGAAGAATTGAACAATTGCAAGGGTGTATCTATAAAGGGTGGGAACTCATTTGGTGAACCTGAAATGGCTTGGCAATTGCCTCCGCAGGGGGTTTTGAAGATTAATTGCGCAGCTTATGGTATCATAGTTCGAGATCATGAAGACAGAGTGCTCATGACTGAGGCCAAAACCGTGACAGCAGCTTCTGTCTTAAGGACAGAGGCTTATGTAGTCAGGCGAGCGTGCAAGACTGCTATGGAATAGAGTTATGGTGTCGTCATTGTTTAATCATACTCAAAGTAGCTTATAGATTCTATCAATGGGAACAATAGGGAATACTTTGAAAGGGATTGCAGCTTTACAAAAGGACATATGGAGCTATGCTCAATTACTCTTATTGGTGAAGTTCCAAACAACACGAAGGACCCAGAACAAGGTTGCCCATATACTTGCGGCCTACACTAGAAGTGAGAAATATAATGTACTAGAGAAGGATTGCCTCCCTCAATCTGTGATGCATATTGTTAGGATGGAAGCTAGAAAAGGAGTAGGATGAATGAATCAAATTGTAAAGAGTACTATGTTTTTTATTTACAGAATCTTATATTTCCTGACCAAAAAAAAAAAAAGAAGAAGAATGACGACACCATAGCTCTATTCCATAGCAGTCTTGCATTAAGGATTAAATGGAGATTTTTGAAAAGACCTGAGTAAATATTTTAAAAAATTTCATTAGAGTAGTCTGTACCAAATCAAACTTTTTACTCAAATTGAATAAGTATTTGAGCCAATATTGAAGATGTTCTAAGAGTACCATATTCTTCATTAACTTGGTTATACCAGCAAAACATGTTACCATGAAAAGATTAACATATACAAAACACGCGATACGAATACAGTGAAGATAAATCCATTTATATCTATTTTGCAGGAGAGAAGTAATTTTTTTTTTTTGTTTGGGATGCTATGTAGGGTGAGACTCCTCTTCTTGTTTTGGTTTACTGCATTCACGATTTCTTTCATTATATTAGTGACTGCTTCCAGGGGATACATGATGCAGTTTGTGCAATTTCCTCTGCATGGAAATATTAATAATTCAAAAAGTATGTAACAAAATCAAAAGACCAAATTAATCCTTAATGCAAACATACAAACTTTGAGACAAGAATCGAAGTGACACCAAACTGATATCACCGAGTGCCTATTTTTTGTTTCATGTTATAAATACCCAAAAAAAATGTTTTTATACAATAGAAGTTTCAACTGCCCTCAACAAATGTAAGTGTTTTTACTTGGCATGGGCATTAGCATCAACTCTTGCATCTACATATGCAATGAGACAGATGCTCGGTTTTATCAGTGTGGTTCAATTCTACATAACTTGGCACAGAAACAATCAGACCGATATCCATGACAAGAAGAAAATATTTCTTGATTATTTGCGATAACATACGACGAATGCCAGAATTCTCGCGCCAACATTATTCAGTAATCTAATTTTTACTGTGTCAAATAAATCATCTGCCTCATAACTTATTACTCGGCTTCCTACAATATATTCATCCGCTACAATCCAGTTATTCATCAACTTTAACATTTACGAATAGGCAAAAAAACATAAAAGATGCCAAGAGGCAAAACATTATATAATGACAGTATTGTATTGGGAGCTACATACCAGTAAAAGAAAAATTCTCCCGGAGAATCGTTGTTTTCACCGAAGTGTACTTGCCATTGTTATGCATGTTTGCATATTGCTCACATATATGTAACTTATCGCTGCTCTTAGTGTTTTGTTAAGTAACACTTACCTGTGACCGTGATTTATATTTAATATATACTATTCATTTCACAAGGTTTTGTGCTTCCTGCTGGTATTGCAGGACTATGTTATTCCAAAAGTTAAAATTATGAAGAAAAGCCTTGTTGGTTGGCTGGACCTTGGCAGTCATCAACAACACGCTAACATAATATGAAGGATGCTAATCAATGAAATATGTAAATAAACTTATATTGAAGCATAGTAAGCTAATTGGTCGGCATGTTTTTCCCCCTTTTTTCTTGTTTGTTTTGATCTGTGAATACTAAGCTATTCCAAGTACACTACAAAACAAAATGAACATGGAATAAATGATAGGAGCCACACAGTAACATTATTTCAGTTCCAGAGGAAGTTCAAACTGCCCTCGGCATATATAAGAGTTTTTACTTGGCGTGTGCATTATCATGAAATTTTACATCAACATATGCAATGAGACAGGTGATTGGTTTTATCAGTGTACGGGTCAATTAAACATAACTTGGCACGGAAACAATCAGAACTGATATCCATAAAAAGAAGAAACTATTTCTTGATTATTTGACATAGCATACAAATACAATGAAGGCCATAATGCATCTTTGTTAAAGACAGGGAAATGGAAATCTCTTTAGAGATCAATTTTACCCGCTAGGTACCACGAATGCATTGCAAGGCTTCCAAAAGACATGATATTAGCGAGAGAAGATAGTCCGTGAATCATCCCAAATTTCTTATTCATTGCTTTAAGTTTTGGATTAACCTTTGCAACTTCTTGATTCTTAGTCCAACCAACTTCTTCTCCGATGTTCGCTTCTCTCTCAACCTTGTGCCTTTGCTTCATCATCTAACACCATAAGAAACAAAATTTCACATGTTAAACACAAAATCCATCAACACTTCAATAGAAAGAAGTTAGAACCAGACTCCTAATGAACCATAAGAGAATCACTGCATTTCCCCAACAATCATATTAATATAACAATATAACGCCTCAAAACCAAATGGACTTGCATTCAACACAAGGAATTACTCACCACCAGGTGGACTCCCCTTCCACCACCGCAGGGGAGGTTCAGGGTTCAATCTAAGGATATAAGGGTGCAAGGCCATAACAATCAGGAAACTAAAAGATAAAGGCAAAAAAAGAGAACACCAAACTGAATAATCATCAATCCACCTTGCTTTGGACCTACGTTCTCACATAAATGTATAGTCCATCAACACGCTAGCAATGAAGCAGTTTTGTTCGGTCTCAAGCTCAAAATTATCATTAATCGTGAAATTCAAGAACTGGTACAGACCCAAACGATGAAACTTACTTTCCGAAGTTGTAAGTGACAAGAGCCCCCAAACACATCTGCTCACAAAGGTATTTAGACATTGATAATAACATACAAAATTTGAATAAACCTGAGAAATGCTAGGACAACATTCAAAAGAAAAGATATATTCAGTGACCAGTTGCTGTGAATTACTACTATACCTCAATGGTCATGGGCGTGAAGACAAAAAGATTGGTGAGATTGAAAGCGAAAGCAGCGAGAAGGAACCCGAGCTGGTACTTCTCCGTAGTAGACGAAGTCTTCCACGGGTGTAAGTATCCGAAACACGCCACCGACACCACACAACACACACCAACCATCGAAAAGTATGCCGGAAACATCTTGCTTTGCAAATTACCAAATTGATGCCTCGGTAAATTCCTACAACCATAGACAGAATACAGTGATTTTCAATAATTGATGCGTGTTAGTATCAATTATTTCAAGTTTGAACAAGAAAAAGAAAATTGGGAAGCGAGAGTGTCGATTACTTGAACATTATGATGCCGCCGATGAAGGTGACCCATAAAGCAGCGCCCCAAGCTGTGGAGAAGCAGAGGAGGTGGGCTAGTTTGAGGAAGGTGGTGAGCTTGGGGGGTTCCTGGCCGTCGGATTTTGATCCGAATGTTTCCGGAGAGAATATCACTCCGATAGCCAAGAATGCCACCGCCGCCAGAAATCGACTCATCCACCCCATCTCTTCCGATTACGAGACCCCACTGTGTGTGTCTGTTTCTTGGATACGGAAGTTAGCGAGAGGAAGACTGATAGAAGAGGTTTTCTTGGTACGGTGTTCACCAACTACATCAGTCGTTCATTACTGGTCTAAGGGTCGTGTTCGGAGGCCTTGAATGTTGGTTTGAAGTTACCTAAATGCCATTGTTGTTTGACGGATTTGCCTTCTATGGTGAAATTCATTGACGTGGCTTATTGACATGGGCCGGGCCTCGGGGTTCACCAGCCTAACGGAATGTTCTAGAAATTATCTGCCCAAGGCTAGACTTAATTCATACAAGGTGTGCCGTCCATTTAGTTGTCGTATTGATTGATAGACCGTCTTAACATGACAAAGGTAAAAAGTTCATGCATAAGATGATGAATTCCGATAAGAGCAGAAAGCAACGGTAATATTATATTATTTTTTATGCATGATATTATCGATCAATTAAAAATTACAAAAAAATTTAGTGAAATCCTAGTATTCTACAAGTCGTATGAAAATGTTGTTGTTGGGTTTAGTTTGGGTCATTAGTTATGATGAGTTAAGCTCAAATAGTCCAATTTATGTGAGAAGTCCAATCCCAATTGAGGAGCTCAACTTCATGAAAGATCCACCAAGCCCATCATAGTTCAAGATCAGTCAAACTCTCTGCTTGGCTACATCATCAAGAGGGAGCATGAGAGCCCTACCTGCACCGCAAAGGAAAAAGTCCACATTCACCTTATCTTTGACCACATCTCAAGGATAGCTCCTCAACCTCCTCTCCCCCCCGGTTGAGAAGAAGTCGTGAGCTCCACCAGAGTAGTCGCTTAGTTGCTGTAAAGTAGCCCCAATCTATTAGGGGACTATTATAAATTGCACGCCCCACCAACACTTGGGGGGACAACACACTTTACTTGAGCACGACTCTCTCTTCTCCCTCAAAGTTTGTACTCTCTACTCTCCACACCCTTGAGTTAATAAAATATCCGACAATCAGAGTCATTGAAGAGTGGACGTAAGTCAAGCTGATCGAACCACTATAAATTACATGTGTCTCTCCATCTCCTGATATTATTTTCTTGCATTTATTATTCAAACTTGACAGGTGATGTGTAAAACTACTTTGTCCATCATCAGTTTAACGCTGTCTGTGGGAAAGCGACAAAACTCTCACTCTTGAACATTCCATTTGCTGAACTAATAACGATCACAATCAGATCCATGAACCAATATGAAAACAATCCATCCCGAGAAAAGGAGGTTGCTCCTCCACCCACCAACCCTATCCCAAATGTTCCAACTCCAAATCCACAACAAATGTTAGAGACCATGTAGCAGTTGGTGGCCCAAAACCAGCAGATAATACAACTCATGCTCGCTGGACGAAGAGGAGCGCAACTTGGAGGTGCACAGCATGGAGGACCCCCAAGGAGCTCCACGCCCTGGGCATCAAGGAGCTCCACACCCTGCTGCACCACACCTGGGAGCCCCTGCAGGGCTGGGTCCCCCCTCTTGGAGTCCCCTTGGGTGCCCCACACAAGGGAGCCCATAATGGGGGAGTTCCACCACCTCCTCCTCCAAGGGACCCCTCAACCAATGGGATAAGAAGATCAAGGAAGTGAAAAATCAATTGGGTGACGTCTTCAATGCCATGAAGGCATAGAGACCCAAGACAGTAGACTACTTGGTAAGGCGTACAGACACGTCTTTCAAACCTGACGTGGTCTTCCCTCAAAATTTTAAAATGCCATCCGTTGAGACCTCTGACGGAACGAAAAATCCACTAGACCACCTCGACACCTACAAGACTCTAATGCAGCTGCACAACGTTCTAAACGAAATCATGTGCAGGGCCTTCCCAACCATATTGAAGGAGTCTGCACGACAATGGTTCGCTAAGCTCCCCCCAGCCTCCATCGCTAAGCTGAGCAGGTCATTCGTATCTCATTTCATTGGAAGACGTCGCCATCAGAAGCCTGTCACCCATCTACTAGCATAAAGTAGGACAGGGAGGAGAGCCTGAGGAGCTACCTCACTCGTTTTAACGAGGAGGTACTCCAAGTTGATAAGTCAAACGACAAAGTGACGATGACTACCTTCTTGGGAGGCCTCCGCTCGTCAAACTTCATTTTCTTAATGATGAAGCGACCACCAAAGAGCATGCCAGAACTACTAGCAAAGGCCCAGAAATACATGAATGCTGAGGACATTACTAGGGCCAGGCGAGGTGAGTCCTCCAGAGCAGCAGGGGAAAAGAGGAAGGAAAGAGAGAGATAAGACAAGAAGGAGACCAACAACAAATGCGACAGAACAGAGAAGGTTCCTGTCAAAGACCGGCTAGGTCCTACTCCTTAGAAGGACCGACAAGCCTTCACTCCCCTCAATGCCGCTGTTGGGCACATCCTATTCCAGATCCAGTATAACCCCGCCATAAAGTGGCCAGGGAAGATGAAGTCTCCTCCAAATCGTAGAAATTTTAATAAGTATTATCATTTCCACCGTGACCATGGGCATGACATTGACTATTGCTATGACCTAAAAAGACAAATTGAGGAACTCATCCACTGTGGCCACCTACGCCAGTATGTTGCTGGCAGAGAATGAGCACCACCACCTCATAATCAAGAAGACTAGCAGCCTGTGGGGGAGATCCACACCATCTCCAGAGGACTAGCAGGAGGTGGAGAATCACGCTAGAAAGGCAAGGCACCTCGACGAGATACGTCCATCCAAAGTGCCAAAGTAGGGAGACAACAAGGTTATATCTTTCTCAGATAAGGACCTAGAGGGAATCCAGCACCCCCATGACTACCCCTTGGTGCTCACCTTGACCGTGGCCAATTTTCATGTGCGCAGGATCCTGGTGGATAGTGGCAACTCTGTGGATATCCTGTTCGCAGAGGCTTATGACAAGCTTAACCTGGGCAAAGAGAGACTGTAGCCTATTAGATCACCCCCTCATTGGGTTTTTAGGGGAAAAGGTATATCCTCTAGGGTCCATCACCCTACCTGTCACATCTGAAGCGTCGCCCTGGAGCTCCACATTCATGGTCAATTTCTTGGTCATAGACTGCCCATTAGCCTACAATATCATATTGGGCGCAACTTGCTCTTAACACATTAAGATTTGTGCCCTCCACCTATCACCTCATCCTCCACTTTCCAACTGCGAATGGAGTCGAAAAGGTCAGAGGAGATCAGATAGCAGCGAGGTAGTGCTATGTCTCCTCCATGAAGACCAAGAAGCCACAGAAAGCATTGCAAGTGGAGGTCCTTAATCCGAGGGATGACGCCACCATAGAAAGAGGAGAACCAGTCGAGGAGCTCACCTCTACGGCCTTGGATGAGGAGTACCCAGACAGAAGAGTATACATCGGCTCTTCCCTTTCTGAAGACCTGGTTGGCCCGCTAATAGACTTTTTGAGACGTAACATGGACGTCTTTGCGTGGTCACATACAGACCTTGAGGGAATTGACCCAGAAGTGGCCACACACCGTCTCAATGTAGACCCATGCCACAAGCCTGTTCGCCAAAAGCTAAGGGGTGCCACCACTGAAAGGGCCCAAGCTATGGATAAGGAGGTGGGAAAGCTAATAGATAACGAAGCCATCACGGAAGTAGCGTATCCTGAGTGGCTCTTCAACATGATGATGGTCACTAAAACTAATGGAAAGTAACATCTCTGCGTCAACTTCACAGAACTCAACAAGGCGTGCCCAAAAGACAGCTATCCACTACCACGGATCGACCTCCTTATCAATGCCACCGTGGGGCATGAGTTGCTCACTTTCCTGAATGCTTATTCTGGGTACAACTAGATTAGCATGTACTTCCCAGACTAGGAGAAAACATCATTCATCACTCTGAAGGAAACCTATTGCTACCGGTTCATGCCCTTCGGACTAAGGAAACCTATTGCTACAGGTCCATGTTGGTGAAAAGTCTCGCAGCAGTAGACCACATTGATCACCTCCAAGAAACTTTCAATGTCCTAAGGTCCTATCACATGAAGCTCAATCCTGAAAAGTGCGCCTTTGGCGTAGGGTCTGAAATATTCTTGGGCTTTATGGTCAATCAGAGGGGAATTGAGGCGAACCCCGATAAAATCAAGGTTATTCTCGACATGAAGTCACCTTCCTCGACCAAGGAGCTCTAGCGCCTCAATGGAAGAATCGTTGCACTCAATAGGTTCGTTTCCAAATCTGCAGACAAATGTCTACCTTTCTTCAAGATTCTCCGGAAGGCTTTTGAGTGGGAACCTGAGGCGGAGGAGGCCTTCCAAAGGCTCAAGGTCTACCTAGCCACACCTCCCCTCCTATCACATGCCACTCTAGGAAAAACTCTTCATCTTTATCTTTCTGCTTCCTCATCAGCAGTAAATTCAATACTCATCAGAAATGATAATGGAGTGCAGAAGCCAATTTATTACATAAGCAGGGCATACCGGGGGGGCAGAGATCAAATATTTGGGACTAAAAAAATTGGCGCTCGCCTTGATCACAACGGCAAGATGACAACGACACTACTTTCAGAGTCACAGCATAGTGGTAGTCACAGACCAACCTCTTAAAAGAATCTTGAGAAAGCCAGATGTATCCGGCAGACTTCTTAAATAGGCAGTGGAACTCGGAAAGTTTGACATTTAGTACCAACCAAGGGCAACCATCAAAGCACAAGCTTTGACAGACTTTATTACTGAGCTCACACCAGCTGAAGAAGGGAGTTGCAGGGATACCCAGATGTGGGACACCCAAGCAGCCCCTGTAGGCGCCTAGGCTGCACCTCCAAGTGCCCAAGCTGCTTTTCCTGGCGCCCAGGCAGCCCCTGCAGGCACCCAGATTGCACCTCCAAATGCCTAGGCTGCTCTTCTTGGCACCCAGATAGCCTCTACAGGTATCCAAACCGCACCTCCAAGTGGCCAAGCTTCTCCTCTTGGCACCCAGACAGCCCCCATCGGTGTCCAGACTACACCTCTAAGTGGTCAGGCTACTCCTCTTGGCGCCCAGACAACCCCTGTAGGAATCCAGATTGCACTTCCAAGTCCCCAGATTGCTCCTCTTGGCGCCCAGGCAGCCCCTCCTGTAGGCGCCCAGACTGCACCTCTAAGTGCCCATGCTGCTTCTTCTAGCACCCAGTCGCCCAC